TATTCTTTCATTCGTTTCGATCGTAAATTGGTGCTGGCACACGCCGGGGAGGCAAAACTGTTATGTCAGTGTTCAAACAGCGCTTGAAAGAGGAAAACAGGGACAGCCTGTTTGCGAGTAGCAATGCAAGCACTGTGATACAACATCTAAGCTTGTATCGGTGAAGATCGCTGAGCGATCTGTGTTTCATCCCTTAGCCATAAACACAACCAAAGATAGCCTGTGACAAGTAATGCCGTTTTTGAATGCCTCTACTTTTTATACGGAGTGAATACGGAAGAAGTTTTGATTTCCAGATTTTGATGCTCCAGGAAACTGCACGCTTATTCTTTCAAAGTCAGTAAAAACCTAGTCGAGGATAAGTACCAGAGAAGCGGTTACTACTAAACCACAAAAAAAACGTGCGAACTGTTTTACGCTATAGCATCACTTTACACGCTCTACTTATTAGTATATTACTGTTACAGTACCACTGAACTACAACATTCACTACTTTAGGACTGCCCGGACCGGCTGGTCCAGCTGGAAGACCTGGAGTCCGGGGCAGCCCCGGCGTGAAGGGACGAAAAGGCGCACCCGGTGAAGTCCACGACATGCCTGGCAGGAAGGGAATGCCCGGACAGCGTGGTGCACCAGGTCGACCAGGTCCTGACGGGCCGAATGGAGATGATGGGCAAGATGGACTGCAAGGGCCTCCAGGTCCACAGGTTCGTAACTTTTAATTGACCTGAACGATTTTCAGTTCTTTTTTTAGTGGAAGAATTGCATTCGGTTACTGAGGTTAGCTGAACTGGAGATTCTTCCACAGCACGCTGTATGGTCGGCTTAAATACTTATTTGAATGCGTGAAAGCTTTAGTAATATGGTTTAATTTCTGTGGCTTTCCTTTTACGGTTACAAACAGTGTAATACTACTATGGTAGTTTTTTATAGTATTCGTTTGATATCTAAGTTTGTGGCGTTTTTTTTTCTTCCTTATTTGGGTACAAAAGTTTCCTAGGACCGTTTCAGTCAGCACTTAGATATGGAACTTTTGGGCATCAATTACATTTGTGCTATAACAATAAACGTTTCTCTTTGATGCGATTTAAAGCGACAAAATCAAAGTTTTACTTTTATCCGGGCGCCATGACAGGCAGGTAACGGTCGCGTCGAACAGGCATTGGTTGGAAAAGTCCATGGCCAAGCATCAGTTGATGGGTGATGGCGTAGCGGCGGTTTTTTACTTTGCGAAAATCCGAAATCAACAGCGAGTTTTTCATGGGTAATGATGATAAAATTTTGAAATAGGGGGTTGACCCCCCTAATACACCGCAGTTCTTCAACTGCAGTACCAAGAACAGACTTGCCAAAACGAGTTACTACTGCTGAAGGATGTACAAGCACCTGATTTCAAAACGAGTGCTTTTCTGTAGATTTTTTATTCTTTCTTACTGGATTGGATCCGTTTCCTGTCCTTTGCCTTTTCTTGTTTTACGGGAGGCTATCCCCAGTCCATTACTTCTTGAATAATCACTCAAAATTTGATAAATTACAAACACGGTGTAAAAGTTTTCGGGTGTATATGCAGTAAAAAAGCCTCTCCGTAATTTGCCCCCATGAAAGGCAGAGGCGCTCAGAAATAACGCAGTTGATCGCAAGTACCAACAGCAGCGGCCCAGTAGCAAATTTTTCGATAACTTTCTTTTCCAAGAACTAGTTGGAGCCAAGTTGATAAGGGATTTGGTTCCGTGGCATGCGCTGGTACCAATCTACCACCGAAAGAATAAACGAATCGTAAAGGGATTGGTTGTTCATCTGCGGGGCCTAACTCTTGACTGTAATTACCATCCCATCATGTTCGCCAGCACACACATACCAGCTGTGCAGAAATTACTTGAAAAGTGAAACTATTAGGAGAAAAATACAGGTGGATACCATATCTTCTGCTCTAGACAAATGAATTTCTTTCAAGTGTGTTTTTAAAATTATAAACATTAGTAGTTGTTTTTAATCCAAATGGTTCAATTATCAGGGCAATCCGGGAAAAGCCGGGACGCCCGGTCGGCCAGGAGCACCAGGAATTAATGGCTCGAGCGGACAGAGGGTAATAAAATTTAATTCTATTAGTTTTTTATATTTATCTGATGTCAGTAGGTTGAATGTTGCTCATTAACGAGTGGTACTCCCCGAGTTCGTATAAAATTTTACCGGAGACCAGAAAGACAACCAGTTGAGAACTCCGGCAGATTGAGAAAAAAGAGGTAGAAAGTACGAAAATCAGTTTTGGGGCTTTTCTACTTCATTTCCTATGGCCTTAAGTCCAAACTTGGTCTGACTTTGTAATTACTTCGCATTTTCCAACTATCGCAGCAGCTTATACCAAAAACTTTCTGAGTTTGGCTCATTACTTGCTTGTCCCATTTTTAGTAGATTACTTCGGTCTCTAGTGCGCATCGTTGCTTAAAGAGCGGGTCGATTCATCAAACGGGGAGACAGTAATCTGATTGACAGCTGACCCGAGTTTTTCCCGTTTTTTGTTAGATTTTTCAATATGTTCGTATGAGAAATTTCACGATGTTTGAAGAAAAAACTAGTTTTTTTTGTGACAAACAGACCTATTCAAAAACAAAAGAATTCCGATGAAATCCGACAAAATTCATGGATTGCTTATTAAAAGTATCGAAAAAGACAAGTTTTTTATGAAATTTTACGCAAAATTTCGCTCTGTTGAGATGTCAAAAGTGCATGATACCACAAAAGTCGAATATTTAGTGCCAGAAGGCAGAAGTTTAATTA